ACTTCAGTGGTGAACCTGGACCAACGAGGTCAGAGAGCTGAAAAGAAATAATTCTGCTCTGACATTATAATTAGTGTTGATTCTGGTTGATTTTCTTACTGTATTTGTGAGCCGAGAGGAAATGAAAATGAATTTGTAACAAAAATCAGTTTTGTTCAGTTTTCCTGTAAAAAGCTGAACTCTAAGAGGACTGTTACTGACAGGAAACAGCTGCATTACCTGCAGTCTGTGTGATCACAGACTGCAGATAATGCAGCTGAGACCATGGGATGCTCAAATGCTCTTAACTTTCATCATGTTTGTGTCTGCAGAGGTCAGAGGTCACAGTCTGCAGGGTCCAGCTGTCCGTCTGTGAGGAGTGACCGGTCCAAAGGTCAACAACCAGACATCAGTGGTGAACCTGGACCAACGAGGTCAGAGAGCTGTGATGACTCCTTTACATGTTTTGGTTTTCCTGGATATGACCTGAAACTAGGGCTGGGCGATAATAATGTAATGGCATGTGAACTGGCACTTAGCGGGCTTATGTGATTCGGTAGGAGGAGACAGATGTCTTGCTGGCGTGTCAGAGGTCCCCTTCTGCTGGTGTGTTGAACTTATGTGTTAACGTGGGAACATGTGTCCCCGCTTTCCCCTTGAACTGCCTGGAGGCGTGAGTACTATTGTTTGGATGTGCTTTTTATTTTATTGTTGGCAGCGGCCATGTTGTTTAAAGTCCCAACACCTGAGCCACTACCCAGGCCTGCATGCAATGAGGTGTTTGTTCACACCAGTGACTGTAGAAAACATGGACGACGTGACAGCTCCCCAAAAATGAAGCAAAAACATCTCTATCGCCCCCTGGTGTCTGGCTGCAGTATTGGTCATAAACCCCGCCTCCTCCATGTTAGCGGATAGGACTGGGGTCAGACTAAAATAAATTAATTCTCCTCAGATAATTTTTTTCCAAAGATTCTTTCTTTTGTTTTCAATAGTTCTCATCACGCTGATTGATGTCCAAGGGGTCTCCTCTCCCATAAGTTTGATTCTAATTCCTACCGCGGTGATGTTAAATTGGGGTGTAACCAGGGCTGGGCGATATGGCCTAAAATCCATATCGCGATATAATTTGAAGCACGTGCGGTAACGATATATATCGCGATATGTTCTTTTCTTCTGTATAACGTATTTTCCACACTATAA